AGAGCTTGGAAAGGAATTCTAGACACACACACAAAATTTAGCCACATTTTATATTTCAGATGGGCTCTGTTTGCTGGCAGCATGCCGTGGCTGCTTTAAGAGATGCTTCTCATTCAGCAGTGGCAAAAAACAAACAAAAATCCAGCACAGTTTTGAAACAGCAGCTTCTGGTTCTATGCTGCCAGCATGAACTCTTTCAAGAGGCAGAGCACTTGAATGTGGTCTTTTGGGCATTGTGCTGCAAGTTACTTGGTGGTAGCATGGGCCAGTTGGTTACCAGAGTTGAGGTAGTGAGCGTGGCTTACACCTGGCAGTCTCAGAGGAAGTGAACAGACCTCCGCAATGTTGGACTGTGCAGAACCAATAGGCAGGACCATGGAGTTGGTCCTATCCATGTCCATTTATCATTTAAAAAAAGGTGCTTCTGGTCAGAAAATAATTACAGATGCTAAGTAAAGACAGATCCAGATTTTTAAAAAAGTCTTAATGGGTCAGAGTGTTGTATAAATATAAGTAGTCTTGGGAGAGAGAAGAAAAAGAATATAGACAGTTATAAGAAGAAGTAAATGGTTAAAAAAATAAAACAAAGTCTTTAAAGAGACAGAGTACAGGCAGTCATAGATTAAAGGAGTAAAGAAAAAGAAGCCACGTAAAGATGGAATATATACAGAGCGTCTGGATTATGTCTATTATTGAATTTTTTGGCTTTGAAGGAGCTAAGAACAGAGATATATTTCATTGTGTGGGCTGCTTAGGTAAACTAACATGTATATTTTAAATGTATCTTTACTTCAAAATTTGGGTCGAAAGAAAAATTGTTGCTTTGGAAAAGGGGCTGCAACAGGTTATAAAGGGAGAAAACCAAACCATTGAGAGATCTAAGGAAAAAGCAAAGAATATGTGCAATATTTTACATTTCTTAAGTGTGATTAATAATACCTGGACATGGTTGGTCACTTAGGTGCTATTGATCTCTGAAGGACTGTGATAAACCAAGGATAGACATTTAAAATACCACACTAATTCATCAGAAATCTTGAAGGACAAGATCCAGCAAGGTCAGACACCAGCAATTCCACTCTGTGAAACTTCCTCCTGTGATCTCTCCAGAAGGACTTCCCTCTGGCCCAATTATCATACTGTCAGGGAGGTAATTATAGAGAACAGGCTTCTAAGATTTTCTTTTATGGCAGTGTGGGACAAAAGGTTTGACAGTCTTATTTTATTTCTGAGGATATACAGTTTGGGGAAAAGTTATCCTACAAAGAGAATACAGAAAAATTCTGCCCAATATATGAGGAATCCACAGCAGGGGAGCATGCTGTCATAAGAGAATCTGCAGTTAGAGACAGCCAGCAATTCCAAAGGCAGTGTTTTTCTATAGACCATGCCTAAGTGATCTTGACCTCCAGTATAAGTCTCTGGTGGGTTGGCCTTCTAAATGTCAGTTGATCTCATGGTAACCTTGTGGATACCATGAGAACCTGGGTTGGAGTGCACCAGGGTCCTGTCACCCTAGCTGTGGACTGGGGAACACTCAGCCTCCCTGGTAAGCAACTTCCTTCTTATTGTTGTGTTTGTTTTTTGAGACAGGTCTCATTAGTCAGGATCACATCCTAGGCTGTCCTGGAACTCACTGTGTAGACCAAGATGACTTTGAATTTACAGAGATCTGCCTTACTCTGCTTCCTATGAGCTTTGCTTAAAACCATTCTCTACATAGGTAGCTCCTCAGAAAGGAAAAAAAACAGAGGGACATTCCAAAGAGGAAATATGCAGGACAAAGACCAGAAGAACAAAAGGACAGTCAGTGTTTGGTAAAACTGATGTTCTGGTGTGGATGGACCATAGGATTTTGTGCTGAGTGAGAGATAAGAAGAAAGCAAAACAGAATAAAAAGTGTTCTGTGGCCAAGCTAGCTGCAGAACTGAGATTTTATTTTTAGGCCAGTGATTCTTAAAAATGTGGTCCTCAGACCAGCAGCCTCAGCATTACTTCAGAATTTTCTAGAAGTGTATTTTCTTGTGTCTATTCGCATACCTACTGGGTCAGAAACACTGGAGGTAGGTAATGACAATCTCTACCCATGTGAGCCCTTTAAAAAAGTATGACATGCACATGCATGTCACATATGAATGAAGGTGCCCAGGAGGCCAGAAAAGGTGCCAGATCCCCAGGTATTAGAGTTACAGGTGATTTTGAGCCTTCAAGAACTCTTAGCCACAGAGGATCAATCCAGCCCTGTATCCAATTGACTCTTACCTATGACCAAGTTTACAAAGCAATATTTGGGCATCAGGAGGCCACCAAAGGCCACCTCATAAAAGAGATTAGATCAGAGTTGTTCTCTCAAACATAGTGAGGGGTCTAATAATATTGCATTGTGTATATGAAGTACATTTCTTAAATTTTTTATTACTTTTATGTGTATGACTATTACCTGCCATGTATGTATGTATGTATGTATGTATATATGTGCATGATGTGTGGGCCTGGAATCCACGGACATCACAAGAGGGTGTCAGGGTCTTTTATTCCCAGCACTTGAAAGGCAGAGGAGGGCAGATCTCTGAGTTTGAGGCCAGCCTGGGCCACAGACTGAGTTTCATGACAAGCTCCGAGAGAGAGAGAGAGAGAGAGAGAGAGAGAGAGAGAGAGAGAGAGACAGAGAGACAGAGACAGAGAGAGACAGAGAGAGACACACAGAAAGATATCAGGAGATAAGCCTGGGTATATGAACTTGGGAAGGAGGTAAAGCAGGAGGGTCAGAGTTCAAGAACATAAGATGAGGCCAGTGTGGGCCACATGAGACCTTGTCTCTAAACAAAACAAAACAAGGACTGAAGTAAAAATAGCATTTCCCCTTAGTAAATATGTTACCTTTGGTGATTGACTAATACTCTCTACATCAGTTTTCTGTTGAAAGACTAGAGCTACTAATTGTATTGATCACATCCACATAAGGTACATGTAGAGAAACTACTCAACAAATGCTTGCCACTATGATCTGGCCAAATGTTTTTATGTGTGCATGTGTGTCTCAGGAAGAGCTCAAAACATGTCATCTGCCATTTTGGAGAGAGGGTGGACCTCAGATCACCAGAACACGCTCTACTAGGGTTTCCTTCTGACAGGGAAACTGCTTACAGAGAACTGTGACATGCCAGACAGACTCTGCAGGAGGTTTAGCTCTTCTTTACTCACGTCCAGGGAAAGGATTAGAAAGACTACAAGAGAGACAACATAGATGGGTGGGATTGAGTCAAAGGGTTAAGAAAAACCAAATAGTAAGACAAAAACAAAAACCAGAACATGCTCCAAAAAAACAAACAATAAAAAATCCACTATATTTCAGGTAACAGTTATTAGAAAATTTTAAACTAAGGCAAGGTTATTTATCCATTAAATGTAAAACAGATCATATTCAAAAGCACAGCATAATGTATGGGGGTAAAATGTGGAAAACATACGTGTTCATGTCTGTGGCGAGTGTACCCTTTGAGGCTGATTCCAAGGATCAGGAAGAGTAGAGCCTACGATAAAGGCCTGGCCAGAGTTTCACCAATACATGTTGGGGTAAGAATGTTTTCTAAATGAATGTCAAAGTCTCTAGTCCTACTTCTGCCAAAGATTTGAGGAGCTCATCTTTTTATATGCTCATCCCTCTGCTGAGTTGAGTCAGGCAACACACACACATTAAGCACCAACTGTCTACTAGATTCTGTATCCAGAAAAATAAGACTTTTCCTGTTCTACTTATTATCAAAGTTTGCCTGACCTCCTGGGCATGTTTCTCACTGTAGGGAGGGAAGTGGGGGTCTCTTCCAGTCAATCCTGTTTTTAAACTTTCCATTTACACAATGGTTTCACTTTCCCATTTACACAAGGGTTTTACTTTTCCAGGCAGAGATTAAAAACCAAACAACTAACATACCACAAGAGAGATGGCCATGGAAAATGATCAAAGGTGTTGGGATAGAACTTACTGTTCTTGGGTTTAAGTTCCAACACCAAAACCAAACCAGCCAAAAGAGGCAACAACAAAAACCCAAACAAACAAATACAATCAGGCATGTTGCACACGTCTTTAATCCCAGCTCTCAGAAGGCTGATGCAGGCAGATCGAAATTCAAGACCAATCTGGTCCACAAAGAGAGTTCAAGAGCTGCACAGAGAGATCATGTATCAAGAAAACAAGCAGCAGGAGAGGGTCTACTAGTTGCCAGCGGTTCAATGAAAGATACAGAAGGTGACTTCATACAGGGCAGCACCCCCAATAGAACACAGGAATGAGATCAGACTTCCTCACAAAAATTTGAAATCCTTAATGTTTTTCTGTCCTAAAACTTTTCTGTCTGTGTGTGTGTGCACGTATGAATGTATATACAGGTGCATTTAGCAGTCAGAGGGTGATGTTAGATGTCTTTATTTCTGTCTTCCTCATATTTGTTTTGTTTGTTTTGAGACAGGGTCTCACTATATAGCCCTGGCTGTCCTGGAACTTGGGCTATGTAGACCAGGCTGGCCTGGGATGTCCTGCCACTGCCTCCTAATTCCTGGAATTAAAGGCATGCGCCACCATGCCCAGATGCACCTGATTTCTTGAGACAAGGTCTCTCAGTGAACCTGGAGCCCATGGTTTTGGTTTGGGCTAGACTAACTAGCCAGTGAGCTCCAGGAATCCTTCTGTCTCCACTCCCCAGGGCTAAGCTTACAAGTGTATGCCATCACACCAACTTTTACATGGATGCTGCGGATCTGAGCTCACCTCTTCACATGATATGATGTCCCCAGCACATGCCCTTCATATTTTGCCTTCCAAGAAAGAGAAACACTCTAGAAATGACCGGCAAGCAGACTTCTGCTTTTATAAGAAACTACATCTACTTAACATGAAAACTGTTATAAAGTTTATTCTACAAAACGATTGAGGCCTGTCCTACTGCGGCCTCCTAACACACTTCTTTTGAAAGTGCACAGACGTCTTCCCAGCGCTGTCCTTACTCAATTCCTTTTGCTTTCAGCTCCTCCTTGACACGTTTCAGGTAATGAGGATCAGGGTAGCCAAAACTGCATGAAGAAAAAGAAATCCTGTTAGCTTCCTCCCAAATAATTCTCAAGAATCTGTACAATAGCCGGGTATGGTGGCACAGGCCTTTAATCCCAGCACTGGGATGGTGACAGCAGTCAGATCTCTGTGGGTCTGAAGCCAGCCTGGACCACACAGTGAGATCCTGTCTCAAAACAACAACAAAATCTGAACAATTTACACTTGAGCATCTAGTATCTGGGATCCAGCATTCTCAGACAATCAGACAGTGACTGGTATCTAGTCACTGAAGTGCCCACTGACTGACCAGCATCTGTTTTCCAGACAGATTGCTTAACACCTTAGCTCATTCTGAGTACTGATGCACATAATGTTATAAAAGCCAAATTCTACAGAGAAGGTAATCATACGATAGTAGGACTTTCAAAATGGGAAACTTGACAAGGTCTCAGGATATTTTTCTTTTGGATGCCACAAGTAGAGGAACTCTGAGATTTATAAAGTATAGTCAGATTTCCTGGGAACATCTCCCACCATCTTGGGACTGTTTATCATGAAGACTTTTTTTCTATCATGTTTCATCCATGTGAGTTTAGCCTCTTTGTGGACTTATGGGAAGATGTGAGTGAGGAAGAGTAAGATGACCTTAAAAGAAACCAAAGCAGGGCTGGAGACATGGCTCAGAGGTTAAAAGCACTGGCTGTGCTTCCAGAAGACCCTGGTTAAATTCCCAACACCCACATGTCAGCTCACACCTGTCTGTAACTTCAGGGGATCTGACAGCCTCACACAGACATAAATGTAGGCAAAGCAAAAACGTAAATAAGAACAAACATTTTTTAAAAAGTCAAAGCAAGTATTCTTAGGATCTACCTTTCAAATTGACCTGAAACACTAAAATTAAATCAACTTGGGCACCATTCATCTTGGGTTCTGAAACCCCATCTTTTGATACATTTTTGGGAGTGGCATAGAAACAAGGTTACTCTGTGTAGATCTGACTGTCATGAAATTCTGTCTGTAGACTAGGCTGGCCTCCAATTAGAGATCCACCTGCCTCTGTCTCTTAAGTACTGGGATTAAAGGTGTGCACCATCACTGCCCAGCTTTGATGCAAAATTTAATAACCAAGTCATACATTATGAATGGCAAAGTAGAAGGTTGGAGGGATCAATTTTTTTTCAAGACGGCCTCAAACTCAGATATCCACCCGTCTCTACCTCCCAAATTCTGGGATTAAAGGCATGTTCTACCACTGCCCAGCTTGAACCAATTTTTTCTCTTTGAAGTTATCATTATAGATTATAATTTTTCTTTTTTCTTTTTTTGGTTTTTTGAGACAGGGTTTTCACTGTAGCTTTGGAGACTGTTTTAGAACTAGCTCTTGAAGACCAGGATGGCCTCATACTCACAGAGATCTGACTGTCTCTGCCTTCCTAGTGTTGGAATTAAAGAATGTGCCACCACCACCTGGCTCATTTTCATAATTAGTGATTGATGTGGGAAGGGCCCAGTCCATTGTCAGTGGTGCCAATCCTGGGCTGGTGGTCATGGGTGGGTATAAGAAAGCAGGTTGAGCATGCCATGGGGAATAAGCCATGAAGTAGCATCCTTCCACGGCCTCTGCATCAGCTCCTCCAGTTTCCTGATTGGTTTGAGTTCCTTCCTCCTCTTCCCTCAGTGTCTCAGGAGATGTAAACCGAATACACCCTTTCTTCCCTGGGTGATTTGGTTATCACAGCAACAGAAACCCTAGCTACGACACTGAGCTAACATCTATTGCTAGAATGCCTTTTCAGACCACAGCCTCAAACTGCAGCACTTAACACCCCTATACTTTGTTCAGCAACCATTGCATTTCAAAGGGCTCCTACTTTCTTGGTCCTCCAAACGTGTATATTTTGTGATGGATGTCATTCCATGTAACAACATCATACACTCCTGGTACTCGAGAGTCTCGTATTGTGAAAATCAGCCTTTTGTTAAAGGCTTCTCTGAGCAGACCCAAGACGTGTCTTCCCTCCTGATTATCAGGCAAGTATGCAGTTCGTCGTGTTCCACTATAAGGCTTTCCTGGGTTTGGGTGCTCATCCTGTATGAGGAAAGGAAAATATTAAATAAAATAATGTCATGCCTCTGAAATTTACTATATTAAAGGTGTATGCATTATAAGTAAAGCCTACTGAAAACCAAAAAGAAAATGTTGTTTTGCTATATTCTGAATAATTCATAGTTCTCCTCTTCAGATTACAGTCGTACCCACCCAACTCCTCCCATCCTGACATATGGTCTCTACCTTAAAAAAAAAAGACATGAAAGTCTAGATGCACAGCTCGACAGTGCTTGCTTGGCATGCACAAGGGGCTGGGTTCAGCCCCAACACTGTTGAAATAGCTGAAAAGACATCCAAGTTCTAAGCAAACACTATGGCCTCTAGCTATTATGTCCCTACCACAATCACTGAATGAGTTCCCGGGAAAATCAGCATCTAAGAGGCTACAGGATGACCCCTTGAGTGCTGGTAACTCTAGCAGAACCAAAAGAAACTCACATTCCCTGGTACACTTACTGTTTGGATGCCACTTTCTATAATGTATTGAATCACAATTGTGCCACAGTCTGCATAACCCGGAAGTGACTGTCTTGAAGTGGTGAAAGTCATGGTTCCATCTGGCTGGTTCCCTTTCTGGATACCATAGGACATCTGACACAGAGGACAGACAGACTTGATTGACAAGGCCTTGGTGATACAAGAGGATCAGAATTCATGCTTGCACTTAAAGAGTACATGTTTGTTGCTAATGGTATCCATGCAGATGGCACAGGAATTTTTGTTATCATTCACCTTCAAGGCCCCAGAGCTGTCAGCAGAGGCTCTGAGAGGAGGTGAAGCTGCATTTGCATCATTCCTGTCGATATCCGTGGGTGTTTCGTAATCCACATTTAATCTCTTTCCAGAAGGTAGGGACAGTCCCATTCTTTTGAAGACATACTGCTTTGTCTCTGGAGGCCGATTAGGCAAACCAATTAAAGTCATTGACTCTTGATATATCACAAAGTGTGTATCTGGGTGCTTTTTTTTAAAGTCAAGAGCACTGCTGCTCTTCCAGAGGACCTGAGTTCAGTTCCCACAACCATCAGTAGTAGGCTCTGATGCTCCTTTCTAGAATAAGTCCTACATGCAGGTAGAGCACCCACTCATACACCTAAAATAAATAAATCTTTTAAAAAGTGCAACAAGATCCCTTATCATGAGGCTCAAAAATATCAGGTGAAGTTCCCCACCAGAGTTAAAATCCTACACCCTGTCTCACAGTACCCTTTCCCGTCCCTAGCTCTCTCCCTTGCTCACTGCCTCCCCACTCCTCTTGCCTCACTGAGCTTCAGTTCCTGTGAGGCCTGTGCATGTGCTTCCCTCAGCTTAGAATGTTCTTACTACAAAACCAGGAAGCCAGAGAAAGGTCTGAAGTGTTCCCATTTTACAGCTGGGCCTGAGTTTCAGTTTTCTAAAAGGACAATGAGGGAGACAGCACATACCAGGCCTGAGGCACCTTCCATAGTACCTCAAGGCACGGACCAAAATGGACAGTTCTGTAATCTCACCAAAACAAACATGCACTGCCTTGCCCAAGTATGCAGCAAAATGGTAAAACTATAACCACAGCCAAAAAAATTGTGCTAATATAACTGTTGCCTACTTAACCAAATGTATTTGAGGTGACCTAATTGTCATTGAAAATCGTCTTACCTGTGCTTAAAAGGAGCCTACCCACTCCCCTTGGGGTCGTCGCCATTTTGTACAGGTGAACGGCCACACATATGCTGATAATAATACTCCTTGCTCTTACATACTGTTTGAGTCTGGGGTCTTCCTTCAGCGTTTCCTCAGACCCCACACTAGGTACTTTAATTTACTCATGTTCTCTAGATGAAGCATCATGGGGGTTTGTCTGTTTACACCCTGTTTAGGATGGTGGCTCTGTCACTGTTCTCATCCTCCTTTATTCTTCCCGCACTTGTCACTGGACAGAATTCTATTATACATCTGTTTACTCTGCTTTGTTCCCCTTACTTGATGTCAAGGCCCTAAGAGCAGTCCACACTGTGCCTGTGCCCCCAGCCCTATGACAGTGCCTGGCACATAACAGTCCCTCTGTATTTGTTGAATGCTTTTTTTAATGGCAGGTGCCTTCTCATCATTTAAGCCTCAGGCTAAATGTCACCTCAGCAAGAAGGTCTCCCATCTTCCCCTGCATGCCTTCACCCTGTACCTCTCTGACGCAAAACTCCTTTTTTATTCTAGCACGCCTCTGTCTTTGAAGTACTTTTCCTCAGTTCATTTATTTCCTTACGGTCTGCAGACCCCCTTACTCACTACAGGCTGCATGAGGACAGGAATCTTGTCCCTGTTTATTCACCTCTGTTGCCCAGTACCTAGAGCAGCATCTGGCTCAAAGCTAGTGCCCAGCTAAGGCTGCTGGTCCTAAAGGGCAGAAGCGGTGACCTAGGGGCAGTTGTAGCAACAGTGCCAGCTCTTCTGTCAACACTCACCTTCTGGACAATAGCATCATCAGAATTATAAACAGGCCCTTTATCGGAGAGGGCTTCATCCGGATACTGTGTCACAGACTGAGGTCGGGGTCTTGGGTCCTCCACTTGCTTTTTCATGGTTTCCAGAAAAATGGTCTCAGGTTTGCCATCAATCACCATTTCATGGTCTCTCTTTTTCAGAACTCTCTCCTTAGCTTCAGGGGAGACATAAAACTCACACATTCACACAGAAATGAGAGCAAACTCACAGATGACCCTCCGTGTCCTCTCTGAGTTGATTCTAGGAACTTCTGAAGACACCAAAATCCAGAGATGTCCCTTATATGCTGAGGACTTTCACACAAGCTATCCATATTCTCCCATGTGCTTTTCATTTGCTTGCTTTTTGTCTATTTGATTTTGAGATATGGTCTCACTATGGAGTCCTTACTGCCCTGGAACTCCCTAAATAGACCAGGCTGGCCTTGAACTCACAAACTTTTGCTATGTCCACATTCAGAGTACTGGGATTAAAGGCATATGCCACAATACCTAGCCTTCCATAGACTTTTAAGAATCTGTAGATGACTTTAATCCATCATACAAAGTAAGCACTCTGGAAATACATATTATGATGTATTGTTTAGTTGGATGAACCCTACGATGTAGGACTACTGTCTAATTTTCTCAGGATCATATCATTCTGTCCTGAAGGTAAGCACTTAAACCAGAAGGTAAACCAGTTAAAATAGATTGAGGAAGACCCTGAAACTGACCTGATTCTCTGGGTTCATCCCTGCTGGAGTTATCAATACAGACTGCTGAGAGTCGGTCTGAACTGGCAGATGAGCACAAGGAAGACTCAGAAAAGCTGCACTGGCTCTAATACAAGACAAGCTGCAATGATGACACCAGACCATGTGCATGGAAGAAGCAGAAACCCACCGAGTTTCCTGGAAGAGTTTTAGACCAGAGCTACGTGGAAAGGAGATGCTACACCTGATGAGCTGCCTTAGCCTTTGCTGTGTGCTCCAGAGTCATGGTTTTGTGAGCTGTGCTGGGCTCTGGTGCTGCAGCTGTCTTTGAGTAATTTCTGCTCCCGTAAGTAAGCACTCATCCATACTCCTGTAAGTAACCTTAATAAAAGTCATTGGTTCACCGTGTTGGGCTTTGGCGGTATCCTTCTTTTGGTCTGTTGTGGGATTCCTATATGAGGTGAGTGGACATGTGTGTTCTGTTTCCCAAGGAAGAGTTTTGTAACCCAGTAAGAACAGAGAACCTGAGCAGTTGTGTATGGCATTCTGGAATAGCAGGTTGTTGATGGGAGAAGGTTATCTGGAACTCAAGAGTAGGCAGCTTAAATTTTACTGCAGAACATCATTTGTTTCTTAGAAGTCATGTTTCTAGTCTGGGCATGATGGTATACACCCATATTCCTAGCACTTTAATGGTAGAGATAAGGATAAGACGATCATGGGTTCAAGTCCAGCCAAGAACAGATAATGAGACTCTGTCTCAAAGAGGTGACAGAAAAACTATGTTGTAATGGTCTTGAATTCTCATTTCTATGACATAGGATGATATTTCCTGTATATTTAAGTTGGGAAACTCCTGCAAACAAATAACCCAAAAACTTAGAATGATTTAAATTATAATAATTAGCTGATTCACAGAAAAGAATACATGACAATTTTCCCTGTGCATCTGCAAGGATTTTTTTCTTTTTTTCTTAGTTTTTGGTTTTTGTAGACAGGGTTTTTCTGTAGCTTCGGAGCCTGTCCTGAAACTAGCTCTTGTAAGCCAGGAGGGCCTCGAAGTTACAGAGATCTGTCTGCCTCTGCCTCCAGAGTGCTGGAGATAATGGTGTGCACCATCACCACTGGGCTTTTAATTTTTTTTAAAGTGATCATCTATTACTTTTGTATTCGTTAGAAACAAGTCAATGGAATCGTTATTTACAACAGAAAGGTGCTTTGGGTGTTGCTCAGTTGGAGGAGCACTTCCCTAGCTAGCACAAGACCCTCGGTTCCTGCTCCAATCCTCATCCCAACTTGCTTTCTCCTCTCAAGACTGTCTGCTGGGAAACTGGGCAACTGGGATACCAAATGGAAACTATCCCTAGGAAGCAGCCAAACCAAGTCAGGGGCTGGGCACATCTAAAGCTCTGTCTTCCACTATGGAATGGAGGAAATCTGTGATTGGCAGCGGCTCCCACAGGCAGTACAATGTTCCCTTGGGCTGTCCTTGGATGCATGAATGGGTCTGTTTGGACACCTACATGACTGCCTTTTACCCAACCTTGGCCCCCTTCAACTGTCCCGACTCACCTGTCCTTTCTAAGAAGTTCACCTCGAAGGTGTCAGGAGCACTGGGACCCACAGGCTGGATACTACACTCCCCGCCTTCTGAATCCCGGCTCTCAAAGTGCTGCTTTATTTTCCTGGCGGCCTGGGGGATGGGCTTCTGGAGCCTCACTTGTAGTGGAGATGGTGGACAGGAACTGGAGGCCATGGCTGTTGGCATCTTGCTTGTGTGAAACTCAGATGTTTGTCTCAGAGATGGAGGTCTAAAGCTTGAAGCCTCAGCTGGCAATTTCAAAGATAAACGTCTGAAGGTTGGGGACTCAGCTGACTGTGTCAAAGATGGACGTTTGGAGTTTAAAGTCTTGGCTGGCAGTGCCCAAGATCGAGGTCTAAAGCTTGAAGCCTCAGCTAGCAATTTCAAAGATAAACGTCTGAATGTTGGAGACTCAGCTGACTGTGTCAAAGATGGACGTCTGGGTCCCGGGTCCTCCACTGGCTTTTTCGTGGTTTCTAAGAAAATATCCACAGGTTTACCATCAATCACCATCTGGTGGTCTCTCTTTTTCAGAACTCTCTCCTTAGCTTCAGGGGAGACATGAAATATACATTCACACAGAAATGAGAGAGAACTTACAGATGACCCCCAGTGTCTTTTCTGGGAAGTCAGTGAACCAGATCAAATTCACTAGGTTCCCCCCTGCTAGATTAATCACTAAGACTGCTGAGAGTCCCTTTGAGACCAGCAGAACAGAGCACAAGGAAGACTCAGAAATGCAGCTCTGACTCAAGAGAAGACAAGTTGCAATGATGACACCAGACCTGTACCTAGAAGAATCGGAAACCAACTGAGTTGCCTGGAAGAGGCTTAACCAGAGCTATGTGGAAAGGGCACTTTCAAACCTGATGAACTGTCTGCAGACTTTGTTGTATGCTCCAGAGTCACGGCTTTGTGAGCTGTGCTGGGCTCTGGTGATTCATCTGTCTTTTAGTCATTTCTGCTCCTGTAAGAAATCCCTCACCTGAGCAGACCTGAACCAGAGAACTCTGCCAGACTGGGAGTGAATTAGCAACCTATGATGTAGCAGGCCTGAGCCAGCAACCTCTGCCAGAGCAGGACCAAGGCAGCAACCTCAGCAGAAAGAGCCCCAAGTAAGCTCTCTCCATGGGAGCAGTCCCATATGACCCCTGGTATAGCAGAGCAAACCACAGGAATGCCAGGCAACCTCCAGGAACACCGAGGGACCAACGGGGTTACTGGAACCATGGTCCTGACTGCACCACGAGGAGCAACCAATTGAGCCTCGGATCCACTGGCACCTGTAAGATTGAGCACCAGAATCGCAGACAGCCCCACCTACACCAATCAGAGGAAAAGATGGGTAGACGAAGTAAGAACACATGCAACACCACAAAGAGAAAGGCAACACCAGTAAAAACTAGTGACCGTACAACAATAAGACTTAACAACCAAATATAGATGAAGCAGAAGAAAATGACCAAAAAAAAAAATAACATTAGGAGAATGTTTGAGGCCCGTAAAGAGGAAATGAAAAATTCCCTCAAAGAAATGGAGGAAAAAGAAAAACAAATAATTGGAAAACATCAATAAATTCTTTAAAGAAAACCAAGAAAAAACTATCAAATATATAAAAGAAACTATTCAAGACTTGAAAACTGAAATAGAAACAACAAAGAAAAGACAAGTTGAGGGATTATAGAAACAGAAATCATGAAAACACAACCAGGAACCACAAATGCAAGCATAAACAGCAGAATTTAAGAGATAAAAGAGAGAATTTCAATCGCTGAAGATACAACAGAGGAAATAGACTCAGTGGTAAAAGAAAACATGAAATCTACCAAAACCTTAACACAAAATGTTCAGGAGGGATGAGACACCAAGAAAACAGCAAACCTAATAATAATAGGTATGGAAGAAGGAGAAGTCCAACTCAAAGGCACAGAAAATATATTTAACAAAAATCATAGAAGAAAATTCCCAACCTAAAGAAAGATAACAGAACATAGAAACAGACTGGATCAAAAAAAAAAAAGAGTCACCTGCCACATAATAATTAAAACGCTAAACATACAGAATAAAGAAAGAATATTAAGAGCTGCAAAGGAAATAAGTCAAGTAACATATAAAGACAGACCTACCAGAATTACACCTGACTTCAAATGGAAATAATGAAAGCCAGAAGGTCCTGCATTATGCAGACATTAAGAGTCCATTAAGGATGTCAGCCCAGACTACTATACCCAGAAAAATTTCAACCACCATAGAAGGACAAAACAAGATATTCCATGGCAAAACCAGATTTAACCAATACCTAGCCACAAACCCAGGCCTACACACAAAGTACTAGAAGGAAAACTCTAACCCAAGGAAATTTGGCTACATCACCAAAACCACAGACAATAGATGATCTCACAGCAGCAAATCCCAAAGAAGTGAAAAATATACAAAATAATTTTACCAACAATGAAAACTAAAGTAACTGGAGACAGCAATCACTGGTCATTAATATCCCTTAATATAAATGGACTCAACTCACCTATAAAAAGACATAGGTTAATAGATTGGATGCAAAACAGAATCCATCCTTCTGCTGAATACAAGAAACAACCCTCAACCTCAAAGACAGACATTGCTTCAGAGTAAAGGGTTGGGAAATTTTTTTCCAATAAAATGGGCCTAAGAAACAAGCTGGTGTAGCTATCCTAATATCTAAAAAAAAAAAAAAAAAAAAAAAAAAAAAAAAAAAAAAAAAAAAACAGACTTCAAGCTAAAATCATTCAAAAGAGAAAAAGAAGGACATTTCATATTAGTCACAGGAAAAACCCATCAAGAGGAAATCTCAGTACTGAACATCTATGCCCTGAATACAAGGGCACCTTTATATTTAAAAGAAACACTTTTAACGCTTAAATCACACATTAAACCCCACACACTAATAGTGGGAGACTTAAATACCCAACTCTTACCACAGGACATGTCTGTCAGACAAAAAATTAACAGAGGAATAGGGGAACTAACAGATGTTATGACTCAAATGGACTTAACAGACATCTATAGAACATTCCATCCAAACATAAGAGAATATACCTTCTTCTCACCACTTCATGGAACCATCTCCAAAACTGACCACATACTAGGTAGCAAAACAAACCGCAATAGATAGAAAAAACTTGGAATAAGCCCCTGTATCTTATTGGATCACCATGGCTTAAAATTAGAATTCAATAGCAACACTAATTCCAGAAAGCCCACAAACACATGGAAATTAAACAAAGCTCACCCCAAGCATCAATGGATCAAGGAAGAAATTAAAGACTTCCTATAATTTAATGAAAATAACCACAAAACATATTTAAATTTATAAAACACAGTGAAAGCAGTGTTAAGAGGAAGGTCCATTGCACCAAATGCCTACATAAAGAAGCTGGAAAAATCCCACACTAGTGAATTAACAGAACATTTGAAAACTCTAGAACAGAAAGAAGCAAACTCACCCAGGAGAACTAGATGACAGGAAATAATCAAATTGGGAGCCGAAATCAACAAAATATAAACAAAGAAAACAATACAAAAACTCATGATTCTTCAAGATAATCAACAAAATAGACAAACCATTATTCAAACTAACCGAAAGGCAGAGAGAGATTATCCAAATTAACAAAATCAGAAATGAAAAGGGAGACATAAATAACAGCAGACACAGAGGAAATCCAGAGAATCATTAAGTCATATTTTGAAAACTATACATTACAAAATTGGAAAATTTAAAGGAAATGGAAACTTCCTCAATAAATATCACTTACCAAAATTAAATCAAGACAAGATATGCAATTCAAATAGACCTAAAGCTGCTGAAGAGATGGAAAGAGTCATCAAAAGTTTCCCAATGGAAAACAAAAGCCACTACCAGATGGTTTCAGGTCAGAATTCTACAAAATTTTCAAAGAAGAACTAATACCAATACTCCTCAAAATGTTCCACACAATAAAAACATAAGAAACATTGTAAAACTCTTTTGATGAGGCTACAATCACCCTCATATTCAAACCAATTAAAGACATAACCAGGAAAGAGAATTACAGACGAGTCTCACTCATGAACATTGATGCAAAGGTACTCAATAAAATGCTGGCATATGGAATCCAAGAACATATCAGAAAAATAATCGACCACGATCAAGTCAGCTTCATTCTAGAGAAGCATTGATGGTTCAACATACAAATATCTGTCAATGTAATCCATCATATGAACCAACTGAAAAATAAAAACCACATGATCATCTCACTAGTTGCTGAAGAAGCCTTTGACAAAATACAACATCCCTCCATGATAAATGTCTTGGAGAGAGCAGGGATACAAGGAGCATACCTAAACATAATAAAGGCAATATACAACATGCCAACAGGCAACATCAAACTAAATGGAGAGAAACTCACAAATACCCCACTGAAATCTGCTACAAGACAAGGTTGTCCACTCTCTCCATATCTATTCAATATAGCTCTTGAGGTCCTAGCTAGAGCAATAAGACAACAAAAGAAGACCAAGGGGATACAAATCAGAAAAGAAGAAGTCAAACTCTCACTATTTGCTGATGATAAGATGGTTTACATAAGCGACCCCAAAAATTCTACCAAGGAACTTCTAAAACTCATAAACACTTTCAGTAATGTAGCAGGATACAAGATTAACTCAAAATAATCATTAGCCCTCCTTTACACAGATGATGATTGGGCTGAGAAATAAATCAGAGAAACATTACCCTTCACAATAGACACAAATAGCATAAAATAATTTAACCAAACAAGGGGAAGACCTGTATGATATGACAAGAATTTTAAATCTTTGAAGAAAGAAATTAATTAAAGAAGATACTAGAAAATGGAAAGATCTCCCATGCTCTTGGGTAGGTAGAATTAACACAGTAAAAATGGCAACCTTACCCAAAGCAATCTACTGATTCAATGCAATGCCCATCAAAATCCCAGCAAAATTCTTCACAGACCTTGAAAGACCAGTACTCAACCTAATATAGAAAAGCAAAAAGCTCAGGATAGCCAAAATAATCCTGTACAATAAAGGAAGTTGGAGGCATTACAGTCCCTGACTTCAAATCTACTACAGAGCTACAGTGATGAAAACAGTCTGGTATTGGCATAAAATCAGACAGGAGGACCAATGGAACCGAATTGAAGACCCAGATATTAATCCAAACATCTATGGAACCTGATTTCTGATGAAAAAATATCAAATGGAAAAAAGAAAGCATATTTAACAAATGGTGCTGCATAATTGGATATCAACATGTAGAAGAATGAAAATAGACCCATATTTATCACCATGCACAAAACTCAAGCCCAAATGGATCAAAGACCTCAAGATAAAGCCAGCCACACTGAACCTTATAGAAGAGAAAGTGGGAAGTACACTTGAACACATTGGCACAGGAGATCATTTCCTAAATATACCCTAGCAGCACAGACACTGAGAGAAACAATTAATAAATGCGACCTCCTGAAACTGAAAAGCTTCTGTAAAGCAAAGGACACAGTCAACAAGACAAAATGACAGAATGGAAAAAGATCCTCACTAACCCCACATCAGAGGTCTGATCTCCAAAATATTCAAAAAACTCAAGAAATTGGTCATCAAAAGAACATGTAATGCATTTTTTTTAAAAAAAAATGTAGTACAGACCTAAACAGAGAAATCTCAACAGAGGAATAAAAAGTAGCCAAAAGACACTTAATGAAATGCTCAACATCCTTAGTCATCAGAGAAATGCAAAATGAAACAACTCTGAGATTCCATCTTACACATGTAAGAATGTCTAAGTCAAAAACACTGATGACTGCTTATGCTGAAGAGGATGTGGGGTAAAGGGAACACTTCTGCATTGCTGGTGGGAGTGCAAGCTGGTACAGCCCCTTGGGATATCAGTATGGTAATTTCTCAGAAACTTAGGAAACAACCTTCCTCAAGACCCAGTAATACCACTTTTGGGTTTATATCCAAAGGATTCTCAATCATACCACAAGGATATGTGCTCAACCATGTTCATAGCAGCATTGTTTTTGATAGCCAGAACCTGGAAACAACCTAAATGCCCCTCGACCAAAGAAAGGACAAGGAAAATGTGATACATTTACACAATGGAGTACTACACAGAAGGAAAAACAATGACATCTTGAAATTTGCAGGGATGGATCTAGAAGACATCATACTGAGTGAGGTAACACAGACCCAGGAAGACAAATATCATATGTACTCACTCATAAGTGATGTTTAGACATAAGTCAAAGAAAACCAGACTACAATTCACAATCCCAGAGAACCTAGACAACAAAGAGGACCCTCAGAGAGACATACATGGATCTAATCTACATGGGAAGTAGAAAAAGACAAGATCTCCTTTGTAAATTGGGAGCATGGACACCATGGGAGAGGGTTGAAGGGGAGGGGAGAGGAAGGTTGAGGAGCAGAGAAAAATGTACAGCTCAATAAAATCATAAAATAGAACCCCCTCACCCATACTCCTGAAAGAAACCACAATAAAAGTCATTGGTTGACCAAGTTGAGATTTGGTCTGTTGTGGACTCCCTATCTGAGGTGAGTGGACATGTGTGTTGTGTCTCCCCAGGAAGAGCTCTGTGTTCCAATAAAAACAGAGGACCTGAGAAGTTGTGTGTGGCATTCTGGAATAGAAGGTCGTTGATGAAAGAAAGTTTTTCTGAACTCAAAAGCAGTCAGCATAAGTTTTACTGTAGAATATCATTTGGTTATTAGTAGCCATGTTTCTACTCTGAGCTTGGTGCTATACACCCAGAAACCTAGCAATTAACTGTAGAGGTGAGGGTAAGGGAATCATGAGTTCAAGTCCAGCCAAGAATACATAGTGAGACTGTCTCAAAAGGGGCGACAGCAAATCTATGCTTCTGTAATGGTCTCGATTTCTCATTTTTATGACATGGAATAATATTTCCTGTAGAGTTAAGTTGAAAAACCCCTGCAAACTAATAACCCAAAAGCTTAGAATGATTTAAATGTACATACATTAGCTGATTCACAGAAAAGAATACATGAGAATTTCCCACAGTGCACCTCCAGAAAATTTTTCTTTTTTCGGCTTTTTTCAAAAATTGATCATATATTACTTTTGTAATCCTTAGAAACAAATCAATGGAATCGTTATTTACAACAGAAAGGTGCTTTAGGTGTCGCTCAGTTGGAGGAGCACTTCCCTAGCTAGCACAAGACCCTCGGTTCCTGCTCCAATCCTCATCCCAACTTGCTTTCTCCTCTCAAGACTGTCTGCTGGGAAACTGGGCAACTGGGATACCAAATGGAAACTATCCCTAGGAAGCAGCCAAACCAAGTCAGGGGCTGGGCACATCTAAAGCTCTGTCTTCCACTATGGAATGGAGGAAATCTGTGATTGGCAGCGGCTCCCACAGGCAGTACCACGCTCCTGTGGGCTCTCCTTGGAAGCATGAGTGGGTCTATTTGGACACCTGCATGGTCTGCCTTTGCACCCGACCATGGTCTGCTTCTGCTGTCCCAACTCACCTGCCCTTTCTAAGAAGTTCACTTCGAAGTTATCAAGAGCGCTGGGTCCCACGGCCTGAACACTGCACTCCCTGCCTTCTGAATCCTGGCTTTCTATGTATGGCTTTAGTTTCTTGTGGCCCCAGGGGATGAACTTGTGGAGCTTCATTCGTCGTGGGGACAGCGGGGAGGAACTGGAAGCCATGACTGTTTGCATCTTGCTTGTGTGGAGCTCATCTGGCTGTGACAAAGATCGAGGTCTGGAGCTTGGAGTCTCAGCTGGCAGTATCAAAGATGGAGGACTGAAGCTTGGAGCATCAGCTGGCTGTGTTAAAGATCGAGGTTTGGTTCTTGGATCCTTCACTGGCTTTTTTGTTGTTTCTAAGAAAATATCCACAGGTTTGCCATCATTCACCATCTGCTGGTCTCTCTTTTTCAGAACTCTTTCTTTGGCTTCAGGGGAGACATGAAACACATATTCACACAGAAATGAGAGAGAACTTACAGATAATCCCCAGTGTCTTCTCTGGGAAGTCAGTGAACCAGATCAAATTCACTAGGTTCCCCCCTGCTAGATTAATCACTAAGACTGCTGAGAGTCCCTTTGAGACCAGCAGAACAGAGCACAAGGAAGACTCAGAAATGCATCTCTGACTCAAGAGAAGACAAGCTGCAATGATGACACCCTACCATGTGCATGGAAGAAGCAGAAACCAACTGAGTTGCCTGGAAGAGGTTTAGACCAGAGCTACTTTTACCTGCTCTGCTGCCTCCAGGCTTTGCTGTGTGCTCCAGATCATGGCTTTGTGAGCTGTGCTAGACTCTGGTTCTGCAGCTGTCTTTGAGTCATTTCTGCACCCGAAGAAACTCCTCATTCCCTCATTCCCACATGGTGGCTCACAACCATCTGTAATGAGATCTATTGCCCTCTTCTGGTGTACAGGAAAACATGTTGTATAGAACCAATGAATAAATTTTAAAGAAAGAAAGGAAAAAAGAAAGAAAGAAAGAAAGAAAGAAAGAAAGAAAGAGAAAGAAATAGTCCCCTCACCCATACTCCTGTAAGTAACCTTAATAAAAGTCATTGGTTCACCGTGTTGGGCTTTGGCGGTATCCTTCTTTTGGTCTGTTGTGGGATTCCTATATGAGGTGAGTGGACATGTGTGTTCTGTTTCCCAAGGAAGAGTTTTGTAACCCAGTAAGAACAGAGAACCTGAGCAGTTGTGTATGGCATTCTGGAATAGCAGGTTGTTGATGGGAGAAGGTTATCTGGAACTCAAGAGTAGGCAGCTTAAATTTTACTGCAGAACATCATTTGTTTCTTAGAAGTCATGTTTCTAGTCTGGGCATGATGGTATACACCCATATTCCTAGCACTTTAATGGTAGAGATAAGGATAAGACGATCATGGGTTCAAGTCCAGCCAAGAACAGATAATGAGACTCTGTCTCAAAGAGGTGACAGAAAAACTATGTTGTAATGGTCTTGAATTCTCATTTCTATGACATAGGATGATATTTCCTGTATATTTAAGTTGGGAAACTCCTGCAAACAAATAACCCAAAAACTTAGAATGATTTAAATTATAATAATTAGCTGATTCACAGAAAAGAATACATGACAATTTTCCCTGTGCATCTGCAAGGATTTTTTTCTTTTTTTCTTAGTTTTTGGTTTTTGTAGACAGGGTTTTTCTGTAGCTTCGGAGCCTGTCCTGAAACTAGCTCTTGTAAGCCAGGAGGGCCTCGAAGTTACAGAGATCTGTCTGCCTCTGCCTCCAGAGTGCTGGAGATAATGGTGTGCACCATCACCACTGGGCTTTTAATTTTTTTTAAAGTGATCATCTATTACTTTTGTATTCGTTAGAAACAAGTCAATGGAATCGTTATTTACAACAGAAAGGTGCTTTGGGTGTTGCTCAGTTGGAGGAGCACTTCCCTAGCTAGCACAAGACCCTCGGTTCCTGCTCCAATCCTCATCCCAACTTGCTTTCTCCTCTCAAGACTGTCTGCTGGGAAACTGGGCAACTGGGATACCAAATGGAAACTATCCCTAGGAAGCAGCCAAACCAAGTCAGGGGCTGGGCACATCTAAAGCTCTGTCTTCCACTATGGAATGGAGGAAATCTGTGATTGGCAGCGGCTCCCACAGGCAGTACAATGTTCCCTTGGGCTGTCCTTGGATGCATGAATGGGTCTGTTTGGACACCTACATGACTGCCTTTTACCCAACCTTGGCCCCCTTCAACTGTCCCGACTCACCTGTCCTTTCTAAGAAGTTCACCTCGAAGGTGTCAGGAGCACTGGGACCCACAGGCTGGATACTACACTCCCCGCCTTCTGAATCCCGGCTCTCAAAGTGCTGCTTTATTTTCCTGGCGGCCTGGGGGATGGGCTTCTGGAGCCTCACTTGTAGTGGAGATGGTGGACAGGAACTGGAGGCCATGGCTGTTGGCATCTTGCTTGTGTGAAACTCAGATGTTTGTCTCAGAGATGGAGGTCTAAAGCTTGAAGCCTCAGCTGGCAATTTCAAAGATAAACGTCTGAAGGTTGGGGACTCAGCTGACTGTGTCAAAGATGGACGTTTGGAGTTTAAAGTCTTGGCTGGCAGTGCCCAAGATCGAGGTCTAAAGCTTGAAGCCTCAGCTAGCAATTTCAAAGATAAACGTCTGAATGTTGGAGACTCAGCTGACTGTGTCAAAGATGGACGTCTGGGTCCCGGGTCCTCCACTGGCTTTTTCGTGGTTTCTAAGAAAATATCCACAGGTTTACCATCAATCACCATCTGGTGGTCTCTCTTTTTCAGAACTCTCTCCTTAGCTTCAGGGGAGACATGAAATATACATTCACACAGAAATGAGAGAGAACTTACAGATGACCCCCAGTGTCTTTTCTGGGAAGTCAGTGAACCAGATCAAATTCACTAGGTTCCCCCCTGCTAGATTAATCACTAAGACTGCTGAGAGTCCCTTTGAGACCAGCAGAACAGAGCACAAGGAAGACTCAGAAATGCAGCTCTGACTCAAGAGAAGACAAGTTGCAATGATGACACCAGACCTGTACCTAGAAGAATCGGAAACCAACTGAGTTGCCTGGAAGAGGCTTAACCAGAGCTATGTGGAAAGGGCACTTTCAAACCTGATGAACTGTCTGCAGACTTTGTTGTATGCTCCAGAGTCACGGCTTTGTGAGCTGTGCTGGGCTCTGGTGATTCATCTGTCTTTTAGTCATTTCTGCTCCTGTAAGAAATCCCTCACCTGAGCAGACCTGAACCAGAGAACTCTGCCAGACTGGGAGTGAATTAGCAACCTATGATGTAGCAGGCCTGAGCCAGCAACCTCTGCCAGAGCAGGACCAAGGCAGCAACCTCAGCAGAAAGAGCCCCAAGTAAGCTCTCTCCATGGGAGCAGTCCCATATGACCCCTGGTATAGCAGAGCAAACCACAGGAATGCCAGGCAACCTCCAGGAACACCGAGGGACCAACGGGGTTACTGGAACCATGGTCCTGACTGCACCACGAGGAGCAACCAATTGAGCCTCGGATCCACTGGCACCTGTAAGATTGAGCACCAGAATCGCAGACAGCCCCACCTACACCAATCAGAGGAAAAGATGGGTAGACGAAGTAAGAACACATGCAACACCACAAAGAGAAAGGCAACACCAGTAAAAACTAGTGACCGTACAACAATAAGACTTAACAACCAAATATAGATGAAGCAGAAGAAAATGACCAAAAAAAAAAAATAACATTAGGAGAATGTTTGAGGCCCGTAAAGAGGAAATGAAAAATTCCCTCAAAGAAATGGAGGAAAAAGAAAAACAAATAATTGGAAAACATCAATAAATTCTTTAAAGAAAACCAAGAAAAAACTATCAAATATATAAAAGAAACTGTTCAAGACTTGAAAACTGAAATAGAAACAACAAAGAAAAGACAAGTTGAGGGATTATAGAAACAGAAATCATGAAAACACAACCAGGAACCACAAATGCAAGCATAAACAGCAGAATTTAAGAGATAAAAGAGAGAATTTCAATCGCTGAAGATACAACAGAGGAAATAGACTCAGTGGTAAAAGAAAACATGAAATCTACCAAAACCTTAACACAAAATGTTCAGGAGGGATGAGACACCAAGAAAACAGCAAACCTAATAATAATAGGTATGGAAGAAGGAGAAGTCCAACTCAAAGGCACAGAAAATATATTTAACAAAAATCATAGAAGAAAATTCCCAACCTAAAGAAAGATAACAGAACATAGAAACAGACTGGATCAAAAAAAAAAAAAGAGTCACCTGCCACATAATAATTAAAACGCTAAACATACAGAATAAAGAAAGAATATTAAGAGCTGCAAAGGAAATAAGTCAAGTAACATATAAAGACAGACCTACCAGAATTACACCTGACTTCAAATGGAAATAATGAAAGCCAGAAGGTCCTGCATTATGCAGACATTAAGAGTCCATTAAGGATGTCAGCCCAGACTACTATACCCAGAAAAATTTCAACCACCATAGAAGGACAAAACAAGATATTCCATGGCAAAACCAGATTTAACCAATACCTAGCCACAAACCCAGGCCTACACACAAAGTACTAGAAGGAAAACTCTAACCCAAGGAAATTTGGCTACATCACCAAAACCACAGACAATAGATGATCTCACAGCAGCAAATCCCAAAGAAGTGAAAAATATACAAAATAATTTTACCAACAATGAAAACTAAAGTAACTGGAGACAGCAATCACTGGTCATTAATATCCCTTAATATAAATGGACTCAACTCACCTATAAAAAGACATAGGTTAATAGATTGGATGCAAAACAGAATCCATCCTTCTGCTGAATACAAGAAACAACCCTCAACCTCAAAGACAGACATTGCTTCAGAGTAAAGGGTTGGGAAATTTTTTTCCAATAAAATGGGCCTAAGAAACAAGCTGGTGTAGCTATCCTAATATCTAAAAAAAAAAAAAAAAAAAAAAAAAAAAAAAAAAAAAAAAAAACAGACTTCAAGCTAAAATCATTCAAAAGAGAAAAAGAAGGACATTTCATATTAGTCACAGGAAAAACCCATCAAGAGGAAATCTCAGTACTGAACATCTATGCCCTGAATACAAGGGCACCTTTATATTTAAAAGAAACACTTTTAACGCTTAAATCACACATTAAACCCCACACACTAATAGTGGGAGACTTAAATACCCAACTCTTACCACAGGACATGTCTGTCAGACAAAAAATTAACAGAGGAATAGGGGAACTAACAGATGTTATGACTCAAATGGACTTAACAGACATCTATAGAACATTCCATCCAAACATAAGAGAATATACCTTCTTCTCACCACTTCATGGAACCATCTCCAAAACTGACCACATACTAGGTAGCAAAACAAACCGCAATAGATAGAAAAAACTTGGAATAAGCCCCTGTATCTTATTGGATCACCATGGCTTAAAATTAGAATTCAATAGCAACACTAATTCCAGAAAGCCCACAAACACATGGAAATTAAACAAAGCTCACCCCAAGCATCAATGGATCAAGGAAGAAATTAAAGACTTCCTATAATTTAATGAAAATAACCACAAAACATATTTAAATTTATAAAACACAGTGAAAGCAGTGTTAAGAGGAAGGTCCATTGCACCAAATGCCTACATAAAGAAGCTGGAAAAATCCCACACTAGTGAATTAACAGAACATTTGAAAACTCTAGAACAGAAAGAAGCAAACTCACCCAGGAGAACTAGATGACAGGAAATAATCAAATTGGGAGCCGAAATCAACAAAATATAAACAAAGAAAACAATACAAAAACTCATGATTCTTCAAGATAATCAACAAAATAGACAAACCATTATTCAAACTAACCGAAAGGCAGAGAGAGATTATCCAAATTAACAAAATCAGAAATGAAAAGGGAGACATAAATAACAGCAGACACAGAGGAAATCCAGAGAATCATTAAGTCATATTTTGAAAACTATACATTACAAAATTGGAAAATTTAAAGGAAATGGAAACTTCCTCAATAAATATCACTTACCAAAATTAAATCAAGACAAGATATGCAATTCAAATAGACCTAAAGCTGCTGAAGAGATGGAAAGAGTCATCAAAAGTTTCCCAATGGAAAACAAAAGCCACTACCAGATGGTTTCAGGTCAGAATTCTACAAAATTTTCAAAGAAGAACTAATACCAATACTCCTCAAAATGTTCCACACAATAAAAACATAAGAAACATTGTAAAACTCTTTTGATGAGGCTACAATCACCCTCATATTCAAACCAATTAAAGACATAACCAGGAAAGAGAATTACAGACGAGTCTCACTCATGAACATTGATGCAAAGGTACTCAATAAAATGCTGGCATATGGAATCCAAGAACATATCAGAAAAATAATCGACCACGATCAAGTCAGCTTCATTCTAGAGAAGCATTGATGGTTCAACATACAAATATCTGTCAATGTAATCCATCATATGAACCAACTGAAAAATAAAAACCACATGATCATCTCACTAGTTGCTGAAGAAGCCTTTGACAAAATACAACATCCCTCCATGATAAATGTCTTGGAGAGAGCAGGGATACAAGGAGCATACCTAAACATAATAAAGGCAATATACAACATGCCAACAGGCAACATCAAACTAAATGGAGAGAAACTCACAAATACCCCACTGAAATCTGCTACAAGACAAGGTTGTCCACTCTCTCCATATCTATTCAATATAGCTCTTGAGGTCCTAGCTAGAGCAATAAGACAACAAAAGAAGACCAAGGGGATACAAATCAGAAAAGAAGAAGTCAAACTCTCACTATTTGCTGATGATAAGATGGTTTACATAAGCGACCCCAAAAATTCTACCAAGGAACTTCTAAAACTCATAAACACTTTCAGTAATGTAGCAGGATACAAGATTAACTCAAAATAATCATTAGCCCTCCTTTACACAGATGATGATTGGGCTGAGAAATAAATCAGAGAAACATTACCCTTCACAATAGACACAAATAGCATAAAATAATTTAACCAAACAAGGGGAAGACCTGTATGATATGACAAGAATTTTAAATCTTTGAAGAAAGAAATTAATTAAAGAAGATACTAGAAAATGGAAAGATCTCCCATGCTCTTGGGTAGGTAGAATTAACACAGTAAAAATGGCAACCTTACCCAAAGCAATCTACTGATTCAATGCAATGCCCATCAAAATCCCAGCAAAATTCTTCACAGACCTTGAAAGACCAGTACTCAACCTAATATAGAAAAGCAAAAAGCTCAGGATAGCCAAAATAATCCTGTACAATAAAGGAAGTTGGAGGCATTACAGTCCCTGACTTCAAATCTACTACAGAGCTACAGTGATGAAAACAGTCTGGTATTGGCATAAAATCAGACAGGAGGACCAATGGAACC